ACTTTAATAAACCCCTTCGAGACTCAATTCGACGGACTGAATTGACTTGTAACTTCGATTTGGCTTATTAAGACTCGAATTCTAGACTAGTTGTGGAATAAAATATTGTCATTCAGTGGTAGAGAACGAAATCTACGATTGGTTATTCGACCTTGCTAATCCTTCACGTGGACTTAAAGTTATCACTGATATCACTTGATCATCGTCCATCCTTATTGAGATATCCCTAACAGCATCACCTGTAGTTGTATCACCCCATCATCCATCTATTAATATTAAAACCTTCGTTTCATAGTGTCATATTGTCTAATAGACTTCCGACAGTTATAAACGACTCCCTTCGTTTCTGGAGTTTATCTTTATCTCCCCGTACACCGTTGGGGTTAAATTGGCATTCAATCCACATAATTCTATTAAGCTCTCCCAACAACGGTTACAGTATTATAAAATGTATAACATATTTGTGTATTATAAAATGTATAAAACAATTGTGTATTATAAAATGTATAAAACAATTGTGTATTATGAAATGTATAAAACAATTGTGTATGATGAAATATATAACACAAGTATTATGAAATGCAATTTGTGCATTGAAGGTGGAAGAGCATTAGCAAAAGTTTCTTATGCTAATGCTACCTTGACATATCTTAATCGCAATCAACTTGGAAAACAATCGCAAAGGCATTCTATAAAAATGTTACTTTGAAACACCTAATTTTTAATGTTAATCAACCTAATTCAGAAGCCAGAAAACCATTTGTAGAAATTCTTCGTCAAAATAGCACAACTACTTTAATTCTTGGAGAAAATAATTTTGACTTAGGTGTAGGAAAAACAATAGCGGAAATAATACCATTTCAACCCAGTTATGTTTAACCCAGTTATGTTATTTCAATAATCGAATTTCCTCCGTTGAAGTAGAAGAAAGCACTTGGAAAACCATTTGCAGAAGCTCTTTGCAAAAACACACACAAAATCACCTTGAGATTAGCCAAAATCGACTTCAATTTGAAGGAAAAAGGGAGATAATTTGCAAAAATAACACCAACTTTTTTTGTCCATTCAAGGAAACTATTTTAAGTTTGAAATCGAAACACATTTGCGAACGCTCTTGGTATAAACACCACTCTAACCACCTGTATATCACCTGTATATAACTTACAATTAACTTGGCGTCCAGTATGGTAGGCCTTAACGGATGCTTTTCACAACATTACTTTAAAATATTTATTTAAAGAATTTCAATTTTGCCAGATCATTTTTTCTATACATATATGCAGTGTAATAATTGCATACATTCATAACTAGATTTTGTCGACTTAATACTATAAATAGTTAAATTTTGTGACTTTTTTGTAACTTGTAACGTCTTCAAAATTTTCTTACAATTCCAAGAAAGGAAATTCTCATCCATCATTTTTGTATGTATAAATTATGATACATAGCGAATGTGAATGTGAATGTAAAAGTCATCTCTACTTTTAAAGCATTACTAAAGAAACTTTACTTAAATTTCATTCTCGCTTACAACATGAATACAGTATCTCCAATGAATGATTTAAATAAATTCAGATACAAATAAAAGACTTTATATCACTAATTTAGAAGAATCAAAAGAATTCTTTGATACTAATCATCATTACGAAAAATTTATTATACAATTTCTTGTTGGAAGTGCATTATGGTCTACAGAATCATGATCTGAAAAATTCTACCATATTGTGTATTGGTACTATGCCAAATTGTCATAATCAAACCTTTGTTAATGACCTGAGAATGATGATATCTGCAGATGATACTGGATTTCATCCTGTGAATATTAGTTCACGACGTGCTAGTGAGCCACTACCCATCTATCTACCAAATAATTCTAATTGTAAGTTAATGATTAATATAACATCTTTGCGGTATTCGAATTATGGCATTCAAATATGTTGAAATTTTCAATTTTCACCAGTGGATTCGAATAAAGAAGTTCTAAATTTTATATTAAAATAAGTCTGATTTCAGCATTTGCCAATTTCATCATCATTCAATTTAGCATTAACCAATTTAATATTAGCAAAGCAAAGCTGTATGTAATTTATTTTTAAGTATAATCTATGAAAATAATATGCCATTTTGCACAAAAGAATGTGTACAAAAGCCAGGACTGTTATATTTAAATTCTTATCTAATTAATGCAAAGCGAATAAAATTAAATAATACACATCTAAATTAACTCAAACAGAATAGAATTAAATATTTATAAATTTGAATACCCTATTTTAAATATGAAATAATAAATAATAACGTATATTAGTAAAGCGATAATAGTAGAGAAAGATTTTGCTGGGAAATGAACGTTAAGAAAAGGATCATTATAAAAATGAAATGGTCCTTATTTATATACAGTATAATGGGTGATTGATTCTTAGATTTCAAAGTTGTAAATACGTAACAACTATTAGGATCAAAGTATTAAAAATTACAATTTGTAAGTGTAGAAAAAAATAAATATACAAAATCAAAAACACTATCATCTAAGGTTATAAATAAAATTTTTTGCATAATTATTAGAGTACATATAATAACAAAAGAATGAGGTGGATACATTCTTATCTTGTAGCTCAGTGGACAAACCGCGGGAAGCTCATTGGGTCTTCCTCTCCTTACTACACAGACAATGATAGCAACGATCACGCCCTCAAGACAATATTTTATAAGTCTAAAAAAAAAATAAATGTAAAAAATCGAAAACACTATCATCTAAAGTTACAGATAAAATTTTTTGCATAACTATCAGAAAAATACATATAATAAAGAAAAAATAAATGAAATCTATGACATGCTTTCAAGGGAGGGAGTACGCGGATCCTAGGCCATTTAATGCGAATCCCTGCGTCATATGATTTCTAAAACATAATACACATAGTCAGAGGCCCTATTGCTTCAATAGTACGTAGAAACAAAATTTTTTGCTTGACTAAGGTAGAATGAAAATTTTGACAAAATAAGATTTATATATACTTATTTAAGCCTGGTGTACGTATGCAGTGCTTAAGACAATTTGTTTATTTTCAAGGGGGACAAGCTATACGATTTTACTGCACCACGATTTTTGCTTCTTTGTGCGATATAAACATAGATATACAAATTTAGAATAAGGGCTGCATAGGTGGCTTTAAATAAATACCATAAACAGTTATTTCATAACCACGTACGTACGTACGTACCTAATAAACGATGAGCCGAACCGCGGATTGGTTACAGGACTATTATAGCTAAAACTGTGAAATATTTTCAGATGATCGAAGTAAACTTATTCAGAATTTATGAAAACAGCTGTAACGGTAACGAAACATTAGTTCTAAAAATGGCTTAGCTCAAGGCTTTGAAGCCGAAAAAAGTGACATTTCCGAAGAATCAAGACAAACCGCGCCTCAATAACAAACTCTTGGAGGCTGGCCGAAGGCAATTGAGATAGATAAGCCATGGAAACAACAAAGGTGAGTCACAATGTAAAAAGCTTAGACACTTAAGCCTCATTATTAGTTCATAAAAGTTTTTTAGCTGTTGAAGAACGTAACGTGGTTATGAAATAACTGTTTATGGTATTTATTTAAAGCCACCTATGCAGCCCTTATTCTAAATTTGTATATCTATGTTTATATCGCACAAAGAAGCAAAAATCGTGGTGCAGTAAAATCGTATAGCTTGTCCCCCTTGAAAATAAACAAATTGTCTTAAGCACTGCATACGTACACCAGGCTTAAATAAGTATATATAAATCTTATTTTGTCAAAATTTTCATTCTACCTTAGTCAAGCAAAAAATTTTGTTTCTACGTACTATTGAAGCAATAGGGCCTCTGACTATGTGTATTATGTTTTAGAAATCATATGACGCAGGGATTCGCATTAAATGGCCTAGGATCCGCGTACTCCCTCCCTTGAAAGCATGTCATAGATTTCATTTATTTTTTCTTTATTATATGTATTTTTCTGATAGTTATGCAAAAAATTTTATCTGTAACTTTAGATGATAGTGTTTTCGATTTTTTACATTTATTTTTTTTTTAGACTTATAAAATATTGTCTTGAGGGCGTGATCGTTGCTATCATTGTCTGTGTAGTAAGGAGAGGAAGACCCAATGAGCTTCCCGCGGTTTGTCCACTGAGCTACAAGATAAGAATGTATCCACCTCATTCTTTTGTTATTATATGTACTCTAATAATTATGCAAAAAATTTTATTTATAACCTTAGATGATAGTGTTTTTGATTTTGTATATTTATTTTTTTCTACACTTACAAATTGTAATTTTTAATACTTTGATCCTAATAGTTGTTACGTATTTACAACTTTGAAATCTAAGAATCAATCACCCATTATACTGTATATAAATAAGGACCATTTCATTTTTATAATGATCCTTTTCTTAACGTTCATTTCCCAGCAAAATCTTTCTCTACTATTATCGCTTTACTAATATACGTTATTATTTATTATTTCATATTTAAAATAGGGTATTCAAATTTATAAATATTTAATTCTATTCTGTTTGAGTTAATTTAGATGTGTATTATTTAATTTTATTCGCTTTGCATTAATTAGATAAGAATTTAAATATAACAGTCCTGGCTTTTGTACACATTCTTTTGTGCAAAATGGCATATTATTTTCATAGATTATACTTAAAAATAAATTACATACAGCTTTGCTTTGCTAATATTAAATTGGTTAATGCTAAATTGAATGATGATGAAATTGGCAAATGCTGAAATCAGACTTATTTTAATATAAAATTTAGAACTTCTTTATTCGAATCCACTGGTGAAAATTGAAAATTTCAACATATTTGAATGCCATAATTCGAATACCGCAAAGATGTTATATTAATCATTAACTTACAATTAGAATTATTTGGTAGATAGATGGGTAGTGGCTCACTAGCACGTCGTGAACTAATATTCACAGGATGAAATCCAGTATCATCTGCAGATATCATCATTCTCAGGTCATTAACAAAGGTTTGATTATGACAATTTGGCATAGTACCAATACACAATATGGTAGAATTTTTCAGATCATGATTCTGTAGACCATAATGCACTTCCAACAAGAAATTGTATAATAAATTTTTCGTAATGATGATTAGTATCAAAGAATTCTTTTGATTCTTCTAAATTAGTGATATAAAGTCTTTTATTTGTATCTGAATTTATTTAAATCATTCATTGGAGATACTGTATTCATGTTGTAAGCGAGAATGAAATTTAAGTAAAGTTTCTTTAGTAATGCTTTAAAAGTAGAGATGACTTTTACATTCACATTCACATTCGCTATGTATCATAATTTATACATACAAAAATGATGGATGAGAATTTCCTTTCTTGGAATTGTAAGAAAATTTTGAAGACGTTACAAGTTACAAAAAAGTCACAAAATTTAACTATTTATAGTATTAAGTCGACAAAATCTAGTTATGAATGTATGCAATTATTACACTGCATATATGTATAGAAAAAATGATCTGGCAAAATTGAAATTCTTTAAATAAATATTTTAAAGTAATGTTGTGAAAAGCATCCGTTAAGGCCTACCATACTGGACGCCAAGTTAATTGTAAGTTATATACAGGTGATATACAGGTGGTTAGAGTGGTGTTTATACCAAGAGCGTTCGCAAATGTGTTTCGATTTCAAACTTAAAATAGTTTCCTTGAATGGACAAAAAAAGTTGGTGTTATTTTTGCAAATTATCTCCCTTTTTCCTTCAAATTGAAGTCGATTTTGGCTAATCTCAAGGTGATTTTGTGTGTGTTTTTGCAAAGAGCTTCTGCAAATGGTTTTCCAAGTGCTTTCTTCTACTTCAACGGAGGAAATTCGATTATTGAAATAACATAACTGGGTTAAACATAACTGGGTTGAAATGGTATTATTTCCGCTATTGTTTTTCCTACACCTAAGTCAAAATTATTTTCTCCAAGAATTAAAGTAGTTGTGCTATTTTGACGAAGAATTTCTACAAATGGTTTTCTGGCTTCTGAATTAGGTTGATTAACATTAAAAATTAGGTGTTTCAAAGTAACATTTTTATAGAATGCCTTTGCGATTGTTTTCCAAGTTGATTGCGATTAAGATATGTCAAGGTAGCATTAGCATAAGAAACTTTTGCTAATGCTCTTCCACCTTCAATGCACAAATTGCATTTCATAATACTTGTGTTATATATTTCATCATACACAATTGTTTTATACATTTCATAATACACAATTGTTTTATACATTTTATAATACACAATTGTTTTATACATTTTATAATACACAAATATGTTATACATTTTATAATACTGTAACCGTTGTTGGGAGAGCTTAATAGAATTATGTGGATTGAATGCCAATTTAACCCCAACGGTGTACGGGGAGATAAAGATAAACTCCAGAAACGAAGGGAGTCGTTTATAACTGTCGGAAGTCTATTAGACAATATGACACTATGAAACGAAGGTTTTAATATTAATAGATGGATGATGGGGTGATACAACTACAGGTGATGCTGTTAGGGATATCTCAATAAGGATGGACGATGATCAAGTGATATCAGTGATAACTTTAAGTCCACGTGAAGGATTAGCAAGGTCGAATAACCAATCGTAGATTTCGTTCTCTACCACTGAATGACAATATTTTATTCCACAACTAGTCTAGAATTCGAGTCTTAATAAGCCAAATCGAAGTTACAAGTCAATTCAGTCCGTCGAATTGAGTCTCGAAGGGGTTTATTAAAGT